GAACCACCCGTGCAAGTCAATCTCAAACTTTGAGACACTATGCATTGCATTTCTAGCCTAGTACTGTGGAAACAAGAAACAGAAAAAGACCATTGCCAGTCTCTTCATGATTAGGCAAATGAAAGGGGAAGGCTTGTAAGCCTTTCTCACTCAGTTTAACATGGAGTCTTTAGGTATTCTAGATTGCAACCAAGATACGGCTACAGAGGCATTCAAGAAAACCATGGTACAAAGGTCATATTTCCATTCTTCACCGGTGAAAAAGACCATGGCTAACATATCATAGTTGAATTCAAGAGTACAAAACTACATCAAACTCAAAGAGAATGAAATGACGAGGCAGCAAAGAGCTACTCTGGTCACGGTGGAAAACTAACTAAAAGAAAGCTCGAGCACCGCAAGGGCCCAACGGGAACCCACGAGCATTAAAGGAAGAGCTCCTAAGAAAAAGTCTCGAACAACAGAGAAGGTCGCACCTCTCAAGGTAACACTGGCAATACTATATCAGGAGACTAAGGGCAGGAACATTTTCTAAATCCTACCACCGATCAGACAACCAATGGAACAAATGGACTAAAGTAAGCATTGTACATTCCATAGTGATTTCAGTCACCTAACCAATGATTGTAGGAGTTTAAGAAGACAGGTGGAAGTATTGATCATAAGAGATGAACTGTCAGATTACCTGGTTAAAACAAGCCACCAGAGGCAACCCGAGCGAGCTAGGCCAAATCCAAAAGCCACAAGAGACAACCAACCCATTTGGGTAATCAATATGATCCATGCCCATCCGGAAGAAGACGAACGGCCAGAAAATTCTTACAGAATTCAACTCAAGCAAACCCATAAGTTACGAAGGGTCGGTGAGATCAATGCAGTCGAATGCAAGCTGAGCCCAACGCAGATTTCCTTCCATAAAAGAGACTTCAAAAGGATGCAACATCCACATGAAGATCCACTAGTGATCAGCTTACTAGCAGCAAATTGCTTAGTTAGGCATGTGCTGATTGACCCTGGCAGCAATGCCAACATCATAACGAAGTGGACTTTCGACCAACTGAAGCTGGCTTTGGATTAGGTCCGCCCCATTGGGAATCCCCTAGTAGGGTTCGATGGAAGAAGGGTTGAACCCATAAGTGTAATCACACTATCGGTGACCGTGGCCAAAAGAACTTTGAAAGAAAACTTTGTGATTATGGACATCCATCCCACTTATAATCTCCTAATGGATCGAGGATGGATCCATCGAATAGAAGGAGTTCCATCAACTTTACATCAAATCATGAGGTGTATTGGCCCAAACGACTAAGAAATTATTGATATATGGGGAGATCAGGTGGCAGCAAAGGAGTGCTACCACACTACTATCCGTTCAACCGATAAAGGAGAGCAATTGCTGAAATAGCAATTACCAGGCTCCTCTTCTCTTAAAGAGAATAAGGAGCCAAGAGAAGAGCAATCGACCAAAGAACCCCTAGAAGCTGTGCAAATAACCATAGGGGATGAGCCCAAGCTAACTTACATAGGCGCTCCAATCAGCCGAAGAAAAGGAAGAGCTAACAAGAATATTAAGGAAGAACGCAGACATTTTCGCTTAGAACCACTGGGACATGCCGTGAATCGACCCACAGATAGCGTGTCACCACTTGAAGGTAGAGCCAAGCCACCACCCGGTGAAACAAAAACAGAGTAGATTTGCCCTAGAAAGAAACAGAATCATTGCTGAAGAGGTTAACCGACTCTTGGAAGCAGGATTCATCCGAGAAGTTTAATACCCCCTGTGGTTGTCGAAAGTGGTTGTTGTTCAGAAGAAAAATGGCAAATTGAGAGTATGCATTGACTTCACCAACCTAAACAAGGCCTGCCCAAAGATAGCTTCCCACTTCCAAAAATCGATGAGATGGTAGATGCTATGATCAGGTACGAAAAACTAACTTTCCTTGATGCTTGTTCAGGTTACAACAGAATCCCGATAGACCCATTGGATGAAGAGTAAACCTCTTTTATCACCGAACGCAGAACCTATTGGTACAAGGTAATGCCCTTCAGACTGAAGAATGTAGGGGTAACTTACCAACGGCTAGTCAATAAGGTGTTCGAAAAGCAAATCGGTAGAATAGTAGAAGTTTATATAGATGATATGGTTGTAAAAAGTAAAGAAAGGAAAGATCATTTATAACATCTGTAAGATGTGTTCGGTACTCTCAGAGAAAATAAGATAAGGCTAAATCCTGTAAAATGTTCATTCGGGGGGTATCGTCAGGCCAGTTCCTAGGTCATCTGGTAAACAAAAAAGGAATAGAAGCCAGCCCAACTCAACTGACGAAGCTATTGTAGAGCAAAGAGCCTCAAACCATAAAGGATGTCCAAGTCCTCACTGGATGAATAGCGGCTCTTAGCCGTTTTCATATTTAACTGTCAGATAAATGTAAACCATTCTTCGATGTGCGCTATTAAAGTAAGGAATGGAGACATTTAGGGGGTAGAGCAGCGAGAAGCTCTCATAAAACTCAAAGAGTACATAGCAAACCCCCCAATTATGTCTACCCCTGAACCAGAAGAACCATTGTATCTCTATCTAACAGTATCTCAGTTGGCAACTAGTTCGGCCCTGATAAAAGAAGTTGGTAAGAAGCAATATCCTGTCTTCTATTCCAACAAAACCATGACGGACTTCGAAAGCCGATACTCAATGGCAGAGAAAGTCATCCTTGCTCTAATTCAAGCAAAAAAAAAAAGCTTCGGCATTACTTCGAAGCTCATCGGGTAATAGTCCCCACGACTCATCCAATCAGAGCAATTCTCAATAAGCCAGACATTTTAAGTAGAATTACCAAATGGGCAATTGAATTGAGCTCCTTCAACATTCAATATGAACAACGCACCACAAAGAAGGGGCGGGTGGTTACAGATTTCCTCTTGGATACTGATCCAGGAGAAGAATAGCCAATTACAGAAAATCCTTGCTGGAAACTATATGTGGATGGCTTTTCGAGCCAAAACGGAGCTGGAACAGGATTGGAAATTAGAACTCTCGAGGGGACCAAACTCCAATAAGCAATCTGATTGGAATTTCTAGCCACAAACAATAAAGCAAAATACGAAACACTATTGGCAGGGCTTAGGCTAGCGAAAGAGCTTTTGGTTAAACACCTTCAAGCTTATAGTGACTCACAACTCATCACCAAACAGGTGATAGGTGAATACACCTCTAGAGAAAAAAGAGTGAACTCATACAGAGAAGAGGTGGAAAAGCTGGCAAAGCATTTCGACACGATAGAATTTCGGCAGATCCCGAGGGAAGAAAACCCGATCGGCGATCGTTTGGCCTGCGCAACATCTTCAACAGATGAGTCGCTGATCAAGGTCATTCCCATCGATATTTTGGACACACCAAGTATCACAAAGGGGATACCAGTGCTGGTTATTCCATGGGAGCCAAGCTGGATAGAACCCATTCTAGCCTATCTCAAAAGAGGAGAACTCCCCAACTCCAAAGAAGTAGTGCGTGTATTAACCGTGTTTTCTTTTTCCCTTTCCGATTTTTTGACATTAATTTTTTTTATTTATTTAATTATTTAATCATTAGATTTAATCTTTTTCTTATGACGTAAGGGTTTTGTCTAACCTAAAGTAGGTTTTGGTGCTCAGAAACGATTTCCGACACCATATGTATTACGTTATTTTGTCTTTTACTGGCTGCGTATGTCTTTATTTTATATGAAAAGCATGTTCATAAATTTATATTTTGTAAGGGTATGAATGCATAGTTCATTTGCATTTTTCGGGGTGTTTTGTGTAATTATGTTTTTGAGATATTTTGCCTTATGGACTTTGGTCCAATATTGTTTGCTAGATATTTAGAGGAAAGATTAAGTTGTAATTAGGGGAAAGAGTGACAAATGGCACTCTCCTATTACACCATGTGCTGGCCTTCCATTAGATGCACTTGGAAGCCTAGGATGGTGACAATTGTAAAGCCAGGATCAAACCATGTGAGAAGGCCTAGATGGATAACATGTGGAGGGCCTAAATTTGGTCTTATATATGTGTGTGAAAGAGGTAGTGTTTGTGTGTGTGTGGTTGGCCAACAAATATAGTGTGTGCAAATGTCGTGGGTCACAACTAAAATTACAAAATGTGATGAAGATGTGGACAAGTTTAAATTTATAGAATGCCACTACCACTACTAACTACTAATGTAGCAAGAGTGGGTAGGGATGGTCCCAAGGGAAAGGAAGGGTATTTTGGAATCATTGTTGGATTAGTAGGTCGAATGATCAAAAGAGGGGTTTAATTTGATTAATTAAACTAATGGTTCAATTAAAACAATGCAATTAAGTAACAATTTAGAAATTAGAGAAAGTAATATGAGAGAAAGGTCTTGGGGCTGAGAGTTCACCACTAAGCTTCACTTCACCAAACACTAGCAATTATAAATTAATAGTGAAAATCATGTTGTAAAATGTGTGTGTGTGTGTGTGTGTGTGTGTGTGACCAATTGAAAACTAAGCATAGATGGAAAATAAGCATAGATTGTCTAATCAATCTAGTGAATAGCAACCTATCAAATGAGACCAATAACCATTCAATTAAACCACAATTAGTGCACACACAAAAATCTAGAGAAATGTACTTATTACATTCATAAGTATGGAACATTAAACAACAAGAATGGATTGTCCATCTTTCTTAGAAATTAAATCAATTACACTACATCTAAGCTAATGATATGAAAATTAAGCTAATTAAACTAAGGATGTGGCATAATCCATCAAGAAATGAGTATGAACCATCAAATAAACCATAAGAATAATCAATTAAGCACCATACCTTGACCATCACTAGATTTATAACATCAACACACATAGACATGCATCAATTTCATTAAATATAGAGAAAAATACACGAACATTCATTTTAGCATACATAGACATATGGATAGAATTAAATGATCAATTAAAAGCACTAATCCATTCAAATTATGTAAGAATCACAAGATCTATATTCATTTATGGTCAAAACATCAATTACAACTAAAATCCCCAAAAATATACAAAAGGTTAGGTCTAGGAAGCAAACTTAGGAGTGATCTCTAGCTCCAAAATAAGGATTTAGCCACTCATTGTAGTGGCCATGGAACCCTCAAGGGTTAACTTAGAGGTTGGCATCATCTTCTTCCTTCTTGCTTTCTTCACAAACCCTAGTTCTAGAGAGGAAACTATTTCTAAAATTGGTAAAAATTAATTCTAGAGGAACTCTCTTTCAGAATTGTATCTATTAATCTATTACAAGCCTCTTTGAGTAGGCAATAAGTCAAAAATAATGCCTATAATTGGTGGAAATTCGCAGCTACAAAAGTAGGTAAAGTCTGGACGTGCTCGAGAATTAGACAACACATTACCAGCAGTCATTTCGATCGATTGAAGGGAATTTCAATCGATCAAACACTTGTTTTGATCGATCGAAGATAACGTGTCATGAAAATATCTTCTTGGCCTTATCCAAATTGCTGAGCTGGCACCGCCTTGATTTCGATTGATTGTAGCCTTCTTCGATCGATCGGGACTTCCTTCGATTGATCGAAAATCCACTGATGCAATTTTCTTGACTTTTTTTCAGATTTGCTCCTTAGCTTCAAAATTGAGCTAAATAACTCTTATTAGCCTGTTTGAACTTTATTGACCTGAAATAGGCAAAAACATAAATAAGTACTAAAACATGAAAGTAAGATAGATGAATGGACTAAAATACCCTAACTTAGATGCTAAAATGCGTCACATTTGAGCACTTGTCACACCCTCAAACTTAGATATTATTAGTCCCTATCAATGAACTACAAGGAGAGGAAAGAAATAAACAACTAAGTAACTATGAACTAGAAAGCAATAAAAGGGTAATGCTACTTTCGTAGGGAACACGATTGCATTTAGCATATGCAACAAGCCTTTTAAACCCCTAGGTTACCCCTAGTGGAAGAGTGAAGTCTCGTGAGGGTTTCCAGAGATGATACCCACAAACATTGAGCTTTTTCTCACTAAAGAGGCACCAATATACAAAACAAGCATTGAGAGAAAACTACCTTAAGTATGCAATTTTTCAACCCTTTTCCAAGTAATCTCCCAAAATCTCAACAGCAAGCAAACAAGTATGGTCCTCCACACATCAAGACAATAATCATGCAAATTAAAACAACTCTAGAATCCTTTTTAAGTGAACCGGCATCAAATATGTTGTTATCTAAGCCAACTAAAGAAATGATCACATCCAGCCTCAAACTAGCACACAAATCTAGTACCGATCATTAAGACAAAGAATGGACCTTTCATTAAAGCTTTATTCAACTAGGTGTGCTTATTATTTTAACTTAAATTTTTTTTTTTTTTTTTACTAACCTTGAGGATCAAAGATGGAAGCATGGTGCAATGTAGTGATCTATTAAGCTTTCTAGCAATCCATGAGGTCGAGCGTTAGGTCAATGACTCCCAAACCGGACGACTTTAGGGCATTAGGTTTTTAAATACCCCTAAGGACTTACAAACTCAAATCAACTAGGCTACAAATCAAAACTACCTTCATCTAATCATTTCTCAAATCTCACCTTTTGGACCACAAATGCAAGCAAGCTATCAATCTTTCGAAAAATTTATTCCTAAATGGCATCCACAAAGCATACAAGGAGTATTGGACTCTCAAGTCAAACAATTTTTAAATTCTAAGTATCATGGTCTTCAAAAGATCAAAATGATGTTTCAAGACTCTCAAATCATACCACGTGTATAGAAACTAAGTGCGACATGTAAAATATGCTAACACACCCCCAAACTTAATCTATGCATTATCCTCAATGTGCAAAGAAGCAACAGATAATGGAAAGAGTATACCAAATTGGTGTAGCAAAAAGGACCCAGCAACGAATGCTTATCTTTGGAAGACGCACCCTCAAACTTAGATTCTGAAAACCTGTCTGAAAATGGTCACACTAGCAACTGTCAAAGCATATGCATCAATGATATAAATGAGAGGTGAAATTGAGAACTGGGCAAAAATCATGGCATCTAGCAATGTCAAGCTTAGAATATCCAAAACTGATAACAAAATCTCAAAAATCCATATATAACAAATAAATCCAAAACCAAATATATATCCAATACTATGCAAAAATAATAACCAATGTATCAATGTGAGTGCAGCAGAATAGTCAAAAATATCCCAAAGTAACAGTGTATTAGCATGGCAGCGCAGATAATGAGTAATAGAGAGAGAAAATGGTGGAATCAAGGGATATGATCCGGAGTCATCATATCAGCAATGTGTTGCAGCATATCGGACATCTTATGGTTGTGGCGAGTGAGAGAAGTCGTAAGGTCAGTCCGTAATGCTCCAAGCTCACACCTCACCTCGGCTACACCTACCCTTAAGTCATCAAAACGCCTAATTAAATCATCGTGCCTCCCCACTGAGTCATCATGTCTCCTCACCAGATCATCATGCCGCCTCGTGATATCCTCGTGTCACCCGGTCATATCAGCTCTGAAGGAAATAAAGTCTGTGTGTAGCTAAGCAACCTCAGATTTGTAGCTAGAATCAGTACTGGAATGGTGGGATCGAGTGTCGGTTTGAGCTATTGGATCTGTGGGAGGGACATGAGAAGGGCCAGCCTACTGATATGTAGTAGGTACATCTGGTTGCGAGGTAGAACCTGAAGTGGTAATGCGACACCTCTATCTGGGAAGAGATCTATGTGTTGTATCCTTTACAGCTGCATCCTTTGTGGCTGCGTTCGCTGCTGCTCATGTTGTCTTTTCATATCTTTGTTCTTTCTGTTCTTGAGGCAAGAATTGTAGGTCTTTGTCCACCTGGCCTGGTCATAGGCCCTACTATCTCTCTCTGAATTAGTCTCTGGAATCTCATCTGGGTCAAACTGATAACCTTGGTCAAGGAGCAGCTGAGTAATCAGGTGGCCATAAGGTAAAGGCCAAGCTACAGCTCTAGAATTGTCCGTATGATGCAGATTCTTCCAGAACTTATGGATGAGCTCCCAGATAAGCGCATGAATAGAAATCCAATAGCCCTGGCTCAAATAGTATAGGGCCTGAAAAATTCCCTCTCTCCTCTGAGTACCATGGCCTGATGGAAAGGCATTGAGGTGCAACATCGAATCAATAAACCAATACTGGGGATCAATATCAACCCTGTTTGCAAATGTGTTACCTTCATAGGCAGCATATGGAGATAAAGTAACTACCATGGTTAGCTCAGAGGGATAAGGTGGAGCACTAGGATATAAAGGATCCTGAGAATCAACAGCCAATGGAGATGAATGGGGGCATCAGCAAGCAGCAACTATGGCCGGGAGAGAAATGTCAATCTTTTGGCCGTCTATAGTGGTATGTAATAGTAGTCTATCATCCTTATCCATCTGAAGGTGCTGGTAGAACAATACAACTAACCAGGGATAGACTACTGTGTCTGCCGGTGTCATGATGGCGATGAGTGCTCAAATGTGACGCATTTTAACACCTAAGCGAGGGTATTTTAGTCCATTCATCTATCTTTATTTTTTTTGTTTTAGTACTTATTTGTGTTTTTGTCTATTATAGGTCAATAAGGTTCAAACGGGCCAAAAATGGTCTATTACAGCCTTTTTAGAGTCAAGCAAAAGTTTAGAAAAGATTCCAGAGAAATCCAAGAAAAAGGTAAAAATGCAGAATTTTTGGATGGATCGAGAATTTTTCGATTCATTGAAGAAATCTTCGATCAATCAAAAATATGCTGGCAGCGAGCTGTTTTATTCCCGCGGGCCCGAACTGCACTTACCCCATAGCTGTAGGATTAGATATTTTAAGGGCTTATTTTCTGACTTGTTCACTACTCCAAGGACCTTGTATTTAAAGGGAATTTAACCATTTTGTAAAACATCATTTGTCTTTAATTTTATTTTATTGTAATTTTATTTTTTCTCTCTAGAAAAGTTAGATATTAAGGTTAGAAGAAAGGAGGAAGAGTGGAGGCACCAAGAACACATCTCAAGATCTATACACTCTCTCTCTTTAGAATTCAACAAAGAAGAAGAGGAAGAAGATGGAACCAAGTTTGGGGATTGCCCTTGAGGGTTCCAAGATCACGCCCACCTCCTCTATGATTGGCTAGACTTCTCCTTGGGACTTAGATGAGCCCTAAGTTTGTAATCTAAACCGCTATATCTTTTATACTTTTTGGGGAATAATATCTTGTGATTAGTGTTTTAGCCTTGTCAATTTAATGAATCTTGGGTTCTCTTTTAATTTTTATGGATTAATTCTTTCTATTAATTCTCTATGTGATTACATGTTGTCTTATGTGTGATTATTTGGGAATTGTTCTCTACACTAGTTTTTCTATATTAATTGAATGTTTATGTGTGGTTAATTGAGAATCTAGTGATGTCTAGATATGATTTTTATTAGATGGGTTTGTCAATTAATTTGATGGATTATGCTTGACGGGTTGTTCAACAATTTAATTCATGCTTATAGGTAGGTAGACAATCTTTACTTGATTTGATATTCCATGGCTTATTATTGCAAATTCCATGATTTTCTATATTGATGTGTGCTACAATTGTGACTAGTTTGATGGGTTATGCTTAGAATTGATAGGTTGTGCTACACTCAGTTTATTTGTCGGTTAAGTAGACAATTCATACATGAATTTGATGGTCCATGCTTAATATTGCAATTAGTAGTTACATTTTATTCACAAGAAGGTTTTCCCCAAATTAGTTGAAAGTGTGTGGTTTGGTGAACAAGCTTGGTGGAAATTCAAAAGGACCCCAAGACCTCACTTCTCATCTCTTAAATCCCTATCTCAACTTAGTTTATTTTAACTGCATTTTAATTAATTATTTTCTAGGGTAATCAACCAACCAACCCTCCTTTGCAATCATTTGGTACATTAGAGTTGAAGTTAAATTCCAACACGTATAATCTCTGTGGACGATCCTTACTCGCGATGCTTCATTAGTTATAGTAGTGGTTTTTATAAATGTAAATTTGATTATAAAGACTTTCTAACCCACATTCATATTTTGACCTTGCGAAGCGACCTCTCGCATTACATAGTTCATTTTCTAAACACTTAGAAAGGGGCTTGTCAATGCCCCTCCGAACAAGTTCATCATAGGACCACTTGGTCTAGTCCAAGTGGGAAAATAAATCGCGATCGAATCTGTACTCGGGCTCTAACTTCCTACGAGAGTAAGAAACAGTAAGGACCTCTCGGATAATAGGATGCGTGACCTCTATAGAAGATGGCTCTAAATGGACTGCTGAAGATGAAAACGAAGAAGACTCGGCCATTGGAGGTTGAGAAAGAAGCTGTAAAGCTTTGCTTACTTGCTTTCTAGCAAGAGTCTTTTATCTGCGCTGCATCTGCAAAAGCAACAAGAATAAATTAGTGCACAGGTAAAGAATAAGGTAAGCAACTCATAAGAAAACACAAAGCATGCCTGAATCAAGTAGAAACAGAGAATAAACAAATAGGATTATGCTTGTGCAAGAAATGATTAAGAAAACTTCAAAATTATCATTCAACATTCCTCAGCTAGACAAAATATATCAAAGCACAATAAGCTATCTCAGATAAGCAGTGATTGTAATGACCTGGGTTTTGATTCAACCCGGTACTACAGTGATGAACCGAAGATTGACCAGATAACGGATCCAGATGCGAAAGCAAGAAACAAAAAGATGGTCTTTCAAGGCACAAAACACCTCTAAGACCCTAGGATGACCCTCCATGAGGTCACGGAACTCAAAGAAACAAGGTGCGGAAACAAAGGACTGGAAGAATGACAATTTAAGCCCCCAGGGCAAGGTAGTCATTTCTGAAAGTATGAATTCAGGTGTCAACGGGCACACCACTAGAAAGGCAATGAAAAACTAATCAAAATGGACTCAAAAATCGCATGATTCGGAGTCCGGACGAAGGAGAAACAACAAGATGAAGAGAAGCGAGCAAAACCCTTTAATCAAGGGCAAAATGGTCAATTTGCAATTAAAAAGGGAGATTTAGCTCTAAACAATTCAAATGAGGTCCACAAAACCTAATCCAATCATTTCACAACATTCCAAAATGTTCTAAGAACTTTGGACAAAAATCCCACGAAATGCCCCTTCCCCGTTGAAGTAAAAACTGACACCCTCTCACTAAAACATGAATCACTCTCACCAAAATTGGAGTTTGAATGCATGGTTGGTGTCATTGGAAAGCTGACTTCAAGCTCATGGCTGGAGTTTGAATCCAGGCTCCAAACGAGGTATTTTGCAATAACTTTCGTTAATTGCACAATGACCCCTATAAAAAGGGTTAACTGCAAAACTGCCCCTGAATGAAAATATCTTCCAAAAGATATTTTCTTAAATACCCCTGAAATAAAATATTTTCAAAAGATATTTATGAAAAACAGCCCAAGAAAAGAAAAGAATTCCAAAGAATTGTGCATCCATGCCCCTATGGACACTGGGAGCAACCAGAGTACTTTCTTGAAAAAGTAAAGATACGTATTTCCTGGAAACCATTCAAGATCAAGATATGTGAAATCAAAAACTAGCTCCGAACACGAAAAGTGAGGTTATGCCAAAAACTGACAAACGGAGAAAAGACAGAATAGGGAAAAGGACGAAATAGGGAAAAGGACGAAAGGTGCATAGTGTCCGAAAAGTGAAAATGTGGAATGACTCGGTCCTCAAAGGAAGTTGTCAATTCACATGAAAAAGTCTCAGAAACCAATTCCGAGCACTCAAGATGACACTAAGCGACACGAAACAGAGCTCAGAAAAGAAAATTAAACGGAAAAAATTTATTCGTAAAATTTCAGGAAAAAAAAAAAGGAAGGGAAATTTTCGGGTCGTTACAACCTACCCATCTTAAAGAAATTTGGTCCCAAAATTTGGAACATATTGGAAGAGAACAGAACAAGGACTGAACAAAAGGTCGAACCAAAGGACAGTTTATAAAGCACCGAAGGATAACTTCAGAAGTCTCAAGATCAACTGAAGGAACGTGAGACCGCGAACTGAGACAACACCTCATACGAATCGGCACGTCAAGTCAACATCAACCACCGAGAGAATCCCAAGACAATGAAATATAGAAATGCGATGAACGAAAAGAGTGATAAGCAGTATGGACAGTGACCAGAATCCGCCCACACTTACTCGTAAGTAAGGTAGCATAATAGTATAAGGCACTAGTTCATAACATGCCCCAACCAGGTCAACTCTGAAAAGCCTATCGATACCAATGACATTAATGTCGGAAATGATCATTACCAAAAGCACCATGGGAAACACGCATCTGCATGAGTTGGGGTAGCTAATCCCAAAACTCTGACAACAATGACACTGGCACTATTACGCTTAAGGCCTTAGACCCAGAAGCCACGAAGGAAAAGGAAATGAAACGCATCTGCATGAGTTGGGGTGCCTCCATGGCCCGCGTCTCACTCCACCAGACAAGGAGAAAGAAATGAATCGCAGTCCTCTACGCTCATATGAGCTCTCTCGCATCAACCAACAAACTATGGTCTCGAAACACCCAACCAAGAAAATAGACAAGAAGGTTCCCAACAGGGTCCCCACAGAATGAATTTCTCCTATCCAAGGAAGAAACTCGTGAAACAAGAACGCATCCAAGGAATGCGACAGATCCTAAGAGACAACGTCAAAACCTGACATAACAGTAAACAGCTAGCATGCAACATAGCAATGGACTATCTACTCAAGATGCCACATAAGCAAACAGACATGTTATCAAATCAAAACATGTTATCACACAAGACATGTTATCAAACAAAACATGTTTTTAATAAGTATTTAAACACGTAGAGTATGGCAACACAAGCGTGATATGCACCTAAAACCCGTCGTCCAAGGTATTCGAACCCGGACGCTCTGATACCACTTGTAACGACCCGGGTTTTGATTCAACCCAGTACTACAGTGATGAACCGAAGATTGACCCAATAACGGATCCAGATGCAAAAGCAAGAAACAAAATGATGGTCTTCCACGGCATAAAACACCTCTAAGATCCTAGGATGACCCTCCATGAGGTCACGGAACTCAAAGATACAAGGTGCGGAAGCAAAAGACTGGAAGAATGACAATTTAAGCGCCCAGGGCAAGGTAGTCATTTCTGAAAGTATGAATTCAGGCGTCAACAAGCACACCACTAGAAAGGCAATGAAAAACTAATCAAGATGGACTCAAGAATCGCATAATTCGGAGTCCGGACGAAGGAGAAATAACAAGATGAAGAAAAGCGAGCAAAACCCTTTAATCAAGGGTAAAGTGGTCAATTTGCAATTAAAAAGGGAGATTAAACTCTAAACAAGTCAAATGAGGTCCACAAAACCTAATCCAATCGTTTCACAACATTCCAAAAGGTTCTAAGAACTTTGGACAAGAATCCCACGAAATGCCCCTTCCCTGTTGAAGTAAAAACTGACACCCTCTCACTAAAACATGAATAACTCTCACCCAAATTGGAGTTTGAATGCATGGTTGGTGTCATTGGAAAGTTGACTTCAAGCTCATGGCTAGAGTTTGAATTCAGGCTCCAGACGAGGTATTTTTCAATAACTTTCGTTAATTGCACAATGACCCCTACAAAAAAAGGTTAACTGCAAAACTGCCCCTGAATGAAAATATCTTCAAAAGATATTTATGAAAAAAACCCCAAGAAAAGAAAAGCATTCCAAAGAATTGTGCATCCATGCCCCTATGGACACCGGGAGCAACCAGAGTACTTTCTTGAAAAAGTAAAGATACGTATTTCCTGGAAACCACTCAAGATCAAGATATGTGAAATCAAAAACTAACTCCGAACACGAAAAGTGAGGTTATGCCAAAAACTGACAAACGGGGAAAAGACAGAATAGGGAAAAGGACGAAATAGGGAAAAGGACGAAAGGTGCATAGTGTCCGAAAAGTGAAAATGCGGAATGACTCGGTCCTCAAAGGAAGTTGTCAATTCACATGAAAGAGTCTCAGAACCAATTCCGAGCACTGGAGATGACACTAAGCGACACGAAACCAAGCTCAGAAAAGAAAATTAAACGGAAAAAATTTATCCGTAAAATTTCAGGAAAAAGAAAAGGAAAGGAAATTTTCGGGTTCTTACAACCTACCCACCTTAAAGAAATTTCGTCCCAAAATTTGGAACATATTGGAAGAGAACATAACAAGGACCGAACAAAAGGTTGAACCAAAGGACAACTTATAAAGCACCGAAGGATAACTTCAGAAGTCTCAAGATCAACTGAAGGAACGTGAGACTACGAACTAAGACAACACCTCATATGAATCAGCATGTCAAGTTAACGTCAACCACCGAGAGAATCCCAAGACAATGAAACGTAGAAACGCGATGAACGAAGAGAGTGACAAGCAGTACGGACAGTGACCAAAACCCGCCCACACTTACTTGTCAGCAAGGTAGCATAATAGTATAAGGCACTAGTTCATAACATGCCCCAACCAGGTCAACTCTGAAAAGCCTATCGATACCAATGACATTAATGTCAGAAATGATCATTACCAAAAGCACCATGGGAACCAGGCATCTGCGTGAGTTGGGGTAGCTAATCCCAAAACTCTGACAATAATGACACTGGCACTATTACGCTTAAGGCCTTAGACCCAGAAGCCACAAAGGAAAAGGAAATAAAATGGTGCCTCCATGGCCAGCATCTCATTCCACCAGACAAGGAGAAGGAAATGAATCGCAGTCCTCTACGCTCATATAAGCTCTCTCACATCAACCGACAGACTAGGATCTCAAAATACCCAACCAAGAAAACAGACAAGAAGGTTCCCGACACAGGTCCCTACAGAATGAATTTCTCCTATCCAAGGAAGAAACTCGTGAAACAAGAACGCATCCAAGGAATGCGACAGATCCTAAGAGACAACGTCAAAACCTGATATAAAAGTAAACAGCTAGCATGCAACATAGCAATGGACTATCTACTCAATATGCCACATAAGCAAACAAACATGTTATTAAATCAAAACATGTTATCACACAAGACATGTTATCAAACAAAATATATTTTCAAGAAGTATTTAAACACGTAGAGTATGGCAACACAAGCATGATATGCACCCAAAACCCGTCGTCCAAGGTATTCGAACCCGGGCGCTCTGATACCACTTGTAATGACCTGAGTTTTGATTCAACCTAGTACTACAATGATGAACCGAAGATTGACCCGATAACGGATCCAGATGTGAAAGCAAGAAACAAAACGATGGTCTTCCAAGGCACAAAACACCTCTAAGACCCTAGGATGACCCTCCATGAGATCACGGAACTCAAATAAACAAGGTGCGGAAGCAAAGGACTGGAAGAATGAAAATTTAAGCCC